TTCTGCAGTTAGGAAAGATTTATTCTCTCTTCTCCTCTCCAGGATGGGTTGGGGAATTTTTCTTCCCCATAACCTCTTCCCTTCCTTTTCACTTTTCAAATGGTGTTAATTTTGGGAAAGTGGTTCTCAATTATTTACCACCCAATGTCCTGGCAGACTGCAAGACTCCAGGGCAGAGGGTAAGAGAAAGGCCAACGGGAGGCTGACAGCCCAAGCTGATGGTTTCCGTCCATGAGAAATTCTGTTATCACAAGGTGGTGTTTTATTTAGGTTGTAATTCTCATTTGCAGAGCAGGTATTACATTTATGTCTTCCTTGTATCAGCTTGGAACGTGTTGTGGCTAATGTGGTATTTTCTTTAGGGAAATAGCAGTAAAGCCAAGGTAGCAAAATAATGCTGAGGGGAAGGGCTAGCCAAAGCTCCTAAGGGGAGAAATTAACTTGGTATTGGTAATCCTATGGCTTATCCCAGCGTCACAGTGGCCAGGTTTGTACATGGTCTTTACATTATTTTTAAAAGCATATTTTTACTGATTTTAGAAAGAGGAAGGGAGAGGGAGAGAGAGATAGGAACATCAATGAGAACCATTCATCACCTGCCTCCTGCACGCCCCCTGCTGGGGATTGAGCCCACAACCTGGGCATGTGCCTGACCTGGAGTTGAACCTGCCACCTCTAGGCGCATGGGGTTACTAGTATGTTCAACCAGTTGAGCCAAACAGCCGGGCTTTGTATTATTTAATTACAAAATTTTCCTTGCTAGTCTGATGCCACATTTGAATATTTTATCTCCTTCCCTGTTTAATTTTTCTCCAGAGCCTCATCTCCTTCTCATGTGCTATCTACCTCACTTATTACTATTTAAATGTCTGACATCCCCTGTAAAATGTAAGCTCCCTCAAGGACAGGAATTTTTGCTTATTTTGTTTATTCATGCAGGGCCTAGAATTGTCCTGGTACTGGGTAGATGCACAATAAATATCTGTTGAATACATGAATTATAAATCCTGATCAAATTAATAAATTAATACTGATCAATATTAATAAATAACTATGATCAAGTTTTTCTACATGAATTTAATTTATAGACAACAGGTGGGCATTCACAAAGCAGTTGATGTTCACAAACCACACACAAACCATTTTCATCAGCATGGTATGCGCTTCTAAACATAGGCGTGGGAAGATAAGCCTGGGCTAGCGGGAATGGAAAATCTGGAGGTTTCGGATGCAGGTAGACTTACATGAATCCCTAAAATAAAAGGTGTGGTTTGACTCTGTGTACTCATAACAAATTCAGGTGTCCCCTCCCCATGAAATCTGATCACTAATTTTATATTCCCACTTCTGGACAAAGCATTATCACCCAATTCCAGAATTCTTGGTACAGGATCAGGCAGTTTACTGGGACTCAAAACATAAAAGATGAAAAGAGGTCTATGGCAATTATGTGAGAATTTCTCTTGTACTTGACATCATTATGATCACAGGACATGCTTCCCAGCAATGACATGGCAATGTACTCTGAGGACCATAGTGCCTGCTACAGCTCTTCCTTTTCCCCAAGACTCCTATTTCCGGGGCGATTGAGTATAATCTGAGGGTCAGATAACCTCCCTCTCCCATTCAGTGTGTCCCGAAGAACTGATAAAGCACTACCAGTAGACTTCTCTAAAAGCAGGAGGAACAACTGACCTCACTGGACTTGGATTAATATGAGTGGGTGGGTCCAAAAAGATAGGGCATTGCATGCAAATTCTCCATAGGAATTCATGAATGACATCTGATTTGTTTCTAAATAGAAGAAAGCTTTGGCAGGTGTGTAAACATAGGCAAATCACATAGCTGTGTAACACCTGTGCCCATTTTATTTCATGTATTTCAATGTGGCCCTTAGGGAAAAGCCTCATGTAAAATATTGGTGTGGTGGTAAATGGGGATTCATGAACTTCAAGTTCTAAACCATCTGTTGCTTTTTAATATCTTGGATAACTTATAAAAACTGTATTGAGATATGATTCATATACCATACAATTCACACATTTAACATATACAGTTCAATGGTTTTTAATATAATCAGTTATGCAACCATCACCAGTCCATGTTAGAACATTTTCATCACTACAAAAAGACACCTTGTGTTTTTTAGTAGTCACTCCCCGTGCTTCCCGAGTTCACCCTCCCTTCCAGCCATAGGCAAACATGAATTTGCTTTCTGTCTTTGTGGGATTGCCCATTGTGGATATCACACAATATGTGGTCTTCTTTCCCTTAGCATAATCTTTTCAATGTCCATTCCTTTGTACTTCTGAATAATACTCCATTGTTCCATTCCATATCTCTTTTTATCTATTCACTCATCAGTCAACACTTGGGTGTTTTCACTTGTCGACTATTATGAATGATGCTGCTGTAAACATTTGTGTACAAGTTCTTACATGGACATAGGTTTTCAATTCTCTTAGATGTATATCTAAGAGGGAAATGGCTGGGTTATATGGTTATATTCAACCTTTTCAGAACTACCAGATTATTCAACATTTCATATTGTTACCAGCCATATATATAATGGCTTCAATTTCTCTATTTCCTCTCCAACAAGCTTTCTTTTTATGATAGTCATTTGTGAAGTGATATTCTGTGGTTTTCATCTTTATTTCCCTAAAAGTAATGATAGTAGGCACATTTTCATGTGTTGATTGGACATCTGTACATCTTCTTTGAAGAAATTCTGTTTTTAGAGAATTGTCTAAAATCTCGTGCCTGACAGGTGTGGCGCAGTGGTTAAGCATTGACCTGTGAACCAGGAGGTCATGGTTCAATTCCCAGGCACATGCCCTGGTTGCAGGCTTGATCCCCAGTCATGGGTGTGCAGCAGGCAGCTGATCAACGATTCTCTCTCATCATTGATGTTTTTATCACTCCCTTCCTCTTTGAAATCAATAAAAATATATTAAAAATAAAAAAATTGCCCATTTTAAGGATTATTGGTCTTTTCATTGTTGAGTTTTTTTTTTTTTTCTTTGCCTTCAGAATTGAGGAATGGTTGGAGGAAGACAGCCTCAGACCTCTCACCTAATCTTGACTAGATTAGAGCTTCTGCAACATAAGGCTGGGGGGATGCTGGTGGCTTGCTTCACTCAGAAATATGCTATAGCTCTAGACTGGGACTGAGGTTGAGAAGGAGCCCTTGTTCTTGGCTGCACCTACCTGAAGTACTATCATACCTGCCTGGGAGAGGCGAGGGAGCAGGGAAGTAGCTTGTGGCTCAAATACCAGAAACTTTTTTTTTTTAATTTATTTTATTGATTTTTTTACAGAGAGGAAGGGAGAGGGATAGAGAGTTAGAAACATCGATGAAAGAGAGACATCGACCAGCTGCCTCCTGCACATCCCTACTAGGGATGTGCCCGCAACCAAGATACATACCCTTGACTGGAATCGAACCCTGGGACCCTTCAGTCCACAGGCTAACACTCTATCCACTGAGCCAAACCGGCTCTGGCTCAAATAACCAGGAACTCTTACTATTCTTATGGAAACTTAGTAGTTTGTGTTGAATAATTTTTCTGTATTTGTTGCATTTTCTCAGAACAGTTTCTAGAGACCTAAATTGCTGTTTGCCTATAATTTTCACCAGTCGTTGTTGTGTTGCTAAAGAGTGGGTTTATGGAGCTCTTCATTCCAACATTCTGAAGGTTGAGTCCCATTTGAATAATTTTCAATGAAGATTTTGCATCTTGTATATTTGGTGGTAAAATCATTTATGCTGCCATAGTAGATGCAGAATTTGGAGGGACAGTTTTTACAAAAGTATTTGTAACAGAAGTTTTTACAAACCTGATAGAAGTTGAGGGCCGATTGACCTGCAAATCCAGTCCTATTCTAGACTGCCTATGCATTTGGTTTGACAAACTGTTCTTCATTTATTGTTATTAAATATTGATAGTTGTATAGAAATATTTGCATAATGAAGGAGACTGCATTTCATATGAAGGTTTGTTGTTGCTCTAGTAATCTATGTGCAAAGCCATCAGAACTACTGAAATAGCGTTCAAAATGATGCCTATTTTAAAAAGCATAGGATTACCATTAATTCTGAATGTGAAAATCAAGTTACTAATACCTCACTTGTTTATACAATACTCTTAAAAAATCCACAAACAAAACAGACCATATAGCTCTTAATTTTTGTTTCATTCAAAGAATTATCGCACCTCAAAGTCTTTTAGAAAAACAACATTCCCAACTTCCCTGATGCATTTATTTGTGGTTTTAGGGCAAATACTTACCTTTAACCATTCTTCAGATTCTTGATTTGATCATGGACTGAGCTCATGTTAATTGCCAACCAGGTGAATTTCACTTGAGTTGAGATAGATCTCTGAATTAGAATCTCTCCTCATATTTAAAACCTCTCTCCATTCCCACAACCCCATGGCAAAGTTAACTATACCTTTCTTTTTTTGGGTTTAGAAGTCCAGGTTATGTATCAATGGTCAGTTAAGCACTTTTTGAGGAAAATACACACTCCTTAATAATGATGAGAAAACCTTGAATGTATTTCTTGGAAATTCACCCCTCTTGGTGTTATTGTCTGAAATAGCTTATGGGCAAAAAGTGTTGTATAAGAGTGTGAAAGTAGATCAAGAGGACTATCTAAGAATGAAACCAAGCACCTCCCAGTGATATCTCCCTGAATAGTTCACACCAAACTGCACAGAGATAAGTTAATGAAAGTCATTTACAAAGTAATTTTCTCTTGGCTTGGGAAGCTTCGGCAATAAAGTTTGGTATCTGTGGAGTGCAATATCAGAGTTTCTCATGTAGTTCAAGGCAAAGGGGAAAAAACACACCCTTTGAATTCTTAAAATGTTCAATGCGGTACCGTCACAAACTGATACATTGCATTAAAGCTCGGCGTTGCTTTTTCCCTAGAAAGGCAGACATTGTATCTTATTAAAATAATGTTTCAAGCAAGTATTTCAGAAGATGCTTACCTCCTGGGTGGGTGTACCCCTCTGCGGCTTAGGCTCAGCGGAGCACCAAGGGGTTGGCGCCTCTCCAGACGCTGCTGCCAGCTTCCCCCTGCGCCCCGGCGCCTTAGAGCTTCCCAAAGTTGGGTGTTCGGCCCCGCCGCCTGCGCGATTGCCAAAACTCCGATTCTGCCAGGCCGATTAATTATTGACAAAAGGAAAACACTCCCACGCAAACTTGTGTCCAACCGCGCGGCTCCGGCGACTCCTCGCAGAGCTCGTGAACGAGGCTGCACCACTCCCCTCCCCCTTGGCTCCACGGTCCCAACTACCCACAGGCTGTCAGCGCAGGGCGCCCGGGCTGGTCCCGGGAGGAGGAATGCAGCCCTGCGACTTCCACATTTTAAAATTCGCTTTTCTGCGGCTGGCAGCCCTCCTCGGGACCCGCCTCGCAGGTGCAGGACCTCGGGGATGCCGGGGAAGCCGGCTCCTGGGAGCTGCCGAGGAGGCTAGGGCGTCCCTGTCACCTCCGGCCGCTGCAGTAAAACCCCGGGCGGGCGCAGCCGAGGCGCGGATGGGGAGGAGGGAGAGGGAGGCGCCCTCCCCCCGCCCTCGGGCCGGGAGCCCCGGCCCTGCCAAAGGGGCACATCCTTTGGGGAGGAGCAGAGAACCTGGGGGGCCTGCAAGGTGGAAGCTCTGGGGCTTTAGCATTCACCTGCCCCGGAAAGCCCGTGCCCGGGGCGCCTCCATCCGCACACACCGCGGCGCGGGGCCGGGCGGGACTGCGGCGGGACAGCGGGCAGCAGCCTGCCCAGTGAGCCCGGGGCTCGGCGGGCAGCCGTTGGCCAAACGGGGCATCCCACTGCTTTTTTTGTGTCTGAAACCAAACCCATTTGTACTGGCAGCTCATTTTTATGTCTTTGAACGTCTTCTAAACACCCCCCCCCCACCCCCCACCCCGTGCAATCCATCTATTCTGCCGCCTTCCCTGCACCCCGTGGCTGGAGGTCAAGGCTGAGAAGCCGGACTCCGTAGGGAGGCAGATGGGAGGATCGCCCTGGGGAACTTGTGTGTGTGTGTGTGTGTGTGTGTGTGTGTGCTCACTCATTCCCAAGTGGAGAGAATTAGTCTGGGCCCGGACTGCGGCGGGAAGCAAACTGGGGAGAGTGCGGGGAGGTGGCTGGGGCGGCAGACGCACGGGGCGTGCGTGCTCAGATGATCTTCCCCAAAGAGGTGAAGGAGGTGAAGGAGGTGCGGGAGACGGAGCCTCTATCACGGAAACCCGCGCAGACATCATCGATCCCTTCTCCGCCGAGGGAATGGCTCAGACTTAACACGGCGGCTGCTGCGAGCTTAGGGCGCCGAGGCCCCTGAGGCTCTCAGCTGGTATCTGCAGAGCTGGGCGGCTTTGGGTGGGGGTGGGTGGGGGAGAGAAAGCCTCTTTTGATTAATGAGCGTTTGGGCGACATCCGACAGTCAGCCCGCACTGCCCGGGGAAGAGGTGGAGGAGGAGGAGGAGGAGGAGGAGCCGCACACGCTGGGCCAGAGCTGACTCTGCAGAAGCGCGAGTTTTGGCTGCTGGCAGGTTTCTGCTCCTTCTCACACCATTCTTCCAGCAGATCCCAAGCTGCTGTGCTCCATAGAGAGAGAGGGACTCGTGTGACTGGGCAGGGGTTTCTCCACACAGAAAAAGGGGGGGGGGTGCCCCAAGGGGAGCGGGAGGGAGCCAATAGAAACTGAGCCCCTTGGGGCCCGTGTTGGAGTTTTCCATCGTTATCTTTTCCTTCTCCTGTGTCTAAATATTAGCAGCCACTGTTGATTCAATGCATCACATTTTGTCATCACTCGGGTTGCTCACATTCCTTTAGCTCCTGGCTTCTCCTGGCAAACCTGGTAAACGTGGGCAAAGCAAATACGATCGCCCCCATCTGGAGAGAGGAGGAACTGGAAGCCCCAAAGGTGACGCCCAGGGTCACAGACCCATTTTGTGGTAGGGCCGATACCACTGACACTAGTTTGCAGGTCTCGTTACCCACTATCTGGCTTCTCATTAGATCGTGATACACGCCGCCCCACCCCAGGGGGTGGCACATTTGGGAGAGTATGAAACGGGCCTCACTCCCCGCCAAAGATTTGGGACATGGATGTGAGACCTTGGCAATTACTGCCACCGGAGAGTGGGAGAAACTGGCACAATGGCAGAAGCATCCAGGCCATTAAAAATCACCCTAAATGACATGTGTGTAATGCGACAATATCACAATATTGTACTACAACCATATACAGATACACCTTTCTGCGCCTCTCCCTTCCTGCCTCCCTCCCTCCTCTCTTTCCCGCCCCCTTTTTTGGTACCAAGTACCTGTGACTTGTTCAGTTCTGTTTTCTGTGAACCATTCTTTCCCCGGGGAGACACATTGTTTACTCTCAGATTCCAGACCGACAGAAAGCATATTTTAATCCCCTATCGCATATTCAGAGACAGAACTCTTGACTCCACTATCACTTGAAAGACGTTTACTGAAATAGTAGTTGATAAGAAATAGAAACGTTTGGGCTTTGAAAGTAGAAATTAGCTTCAAGGTGAAAGCTTCCTATTTTATAGAGACAGAATGATAGATTAGTATAGTGGTCAGCAAACTGCGGATCTCGAGCCACATGCGGCTCTTTGGTCCTTTGAGTGTGGCTCTTCCACAAAATACCACGTGTGGGCGTGCACGTACAGTACAATTGAAACTTTGTGGCCCATGCACAGAAATTGGTTTTTGGCTCTCAAAAAAAAATTTCAATTGTTGTACTGTTGATATTTGGCTCTGTTACTAATGAGTTTGCCAACCACAGGATTAGTACATTGAGGATAAAAAGTTATTCATTTTTGTTGGTTTTGTTTTTTTAATTTGCCAGCAGCTCTGGTGAAAATAGGCAGCAGGTGGCATGGATATTTGTGTCAGTGGAGGTCAGGGGCCTCTGGCCCGAGGCAGTACTCTGCATCCTCAGTCCCTAGCTTGTAGGAACAAATTTAAACGAGTCAACAAACAACAGTAACAACAGGAGACGATTTATTTGCAGAAAAGGAATATACTCAGATATAGTTTGAACAGGCAACTCAGCTGGTGGAAATCTAACCAAGTGCCATCCTCAGTTGGGGTTGGAGAAACTTATACCCCTAGGCTGGAGTGTCCCTAAGTAAGTCTGCCCCTCCCTTCTCTCTCTCTCTCTCTCTCTCTCTCTCTCTCTCTCTCTCTCTCTCTATATATATATATATATATATATATATATATATATATATATTCCCCTCCCCCCCCAAGCTAGCAGGCTCCTTCACCCAGGTGTTATGCCACCGGTTAGACCACATCCTGGGGGCCTTGGATTCCCTCCTCACAGAGAGGTCTGGTGCCTCCATTGCCTTATTGTGGTTTGCCATCCCTTCCAAACCCAGCTGCCTTACCCAGCTCATATCTTTCCAGCTGCCTACCCTGACATTTACGGTAACATATTTGAACTATGTGGGTCTTATTTCACGTTACCCTTATCTTCCATTAGCGTAGAAAATGGACTTTCTATGGAGGAAATAGAGCAGTTCCACATTCCATTGAGGAGTTTCTTAGAGGTGACAATGAGGAGGAAGGTGAAGGCTTGTGTCATGAAGCTGCATTTCCATAGTAAGTGTCCAAGTTTAATTCAGGAGCAAATTAAATAGAAATCGGAATACTTTAATTTTTTCCCCCACCTTAGTTTCAAGTAAGCTGATAGTTTCTTAGAAAAGAATCTGGCCAAAATCGGTTTGGCTCAGTGGATAGAGCGTCGGTCTGCGGACTGAACCCAGGTTCAATTCCGGTCAGGGGCATGTACCTTGGTTGCAGGCACATCCCCAGTAGGGGGTGTGTAGGAGGCAGCTAGTGGATGTTTCTCATCAATGTTTCTAGCTAGCTATCCCTCTCCCTTCCTCTCTGTGAAAAATCAATAAAATATATTTAGAAGAAAAAAAAAAAGAATCTGGTGTTTGTTGTTGCGGAGGGACGCTGAGACACAATTTTGAGCAATATGTTACCTACGCGTTTCCCTCGAGCTGTCGAGCTGTCGGGTGAACCGTAAATGATCAGTTCCAGGATATAAGGGTGAAGGCTGTTCTTACTGCGGTGTCTTTTGGAAGCAGCACAAGCTCAGAAGTCTCTTCGGGATGTCATTGGAAACTGCAAACCCAAACTTAAGACCTTCTACTTTCAGGTCCCGGGAGAACAGAGTGAGAGTGGGACTCATTGCGTTGAGCAATAAAGGCCCTTTTTGGAGGAACAAATAACAGCACCATGAATTCAGAGCCACGGCAGGACCTGGTGGTGGCTCTGAAGCTGCGAGGACTCTCGGAGCCCGGGTTTCTGTTCTTTGATATTTTGAAGCCCAGGGCAAGTTGTCTCAGTCAGCAGCGTATCAACATATGTGCCTCCCTGTGGAGGCATTTGGCTCTGAGGCTGTCTCTAAGTTTAGAAGCTGCAGAGGCAAGAAGATAATATCCTTTCCCCACCAGTCCTTCTCCCCGCAGACATCTGAGAGATGAACAAATGAATAAATGCCAAGCCTTCCTTTTGATTTTGAAATCAATAATAAAAAAGGAAGGAACAATTAAGAAGTACAATAATAGCTGTTCACTGTAGTAGAGTCAGCGATATGGGAGGGGAGTGGACTGACTGTTCTCGGGGAAAGGGGGAGTGGTGGAGGGGGGAAGAGACTGAACATAAACTGTACACCTATGGATGAGGACAATGGGGGGTGGGGAGGGGGTGGAGGGTGGGGTGGGAACCTGGTGGAGGGGGGAAGAAATGAGGAACCTTTGTAATAATATGAACAATAAAGATTGATTAAAAAAAAAAAAAGAAGTAGATCAATAGCTGAAACAAAATGAGCACCTGGAATTTCCCTTTATTTTTGAAAAATGTCTTATATTAAGATCTGTGTTTGTTTGTTTTTTCTTTTCTGCTTCAGGCTTTCATTCCTTATACTGAAACAATGTAATAGTTTGAGTTCACTATTCCACAGGGAGGTTGCATTTTGTTTGCCCCAAATCTCCTATTCTGAGGTTTCTCTTTCATCATGCCTTATATGTTTTTAATTCAATGGTTGGCTTTGCATGTGGTCAAGGGTTCCTAGGTACATGCCCTCTTGCAGTGCATACTCCTTCTCTGAGCCTGCAGAAATCTGCTTTTTACCAATCCATCTTCCAGTTATCTTTCAAGGAGGCTAAAATAAGGTTTCAAGACAATTTTAGTAGTGATTATAAAAGCAAAGTTTTAAACAAGACTGGAGCTCATTTTTTTTTTTTTAAAGTAAAGGTATTCTTAAGGGAGAACTGTAGAATTTTTTAACCAAGGACTATCAAATTGAAAACTTCAGTTTGTTTTATTTTGCTTAAAACTCATAGACAGCCCAGTTTTGGGTCAGTGGTTGAGTGTTGACCTATGAACCAGTTTTGATTTCATGGTCAGGACGTATGCTCGGGTTGCAGGCCTGATCCCCAGTGGGGGTCTTGCATTAGGCACCTGATCAATGATTCTCTCCTGTCATTGATGTATCTATCCCTCTCTTCCTCTCCCTTCCTCTCTGAAATAAAGAAAAATATATTAAGAAAAATATTCATAGACATAGACAACAGTCTGATGATTAAAATCCAGAGGGAAAGGGGGTGG